CGGCGCGGTCGTGCGCGCGGGGGGCGCGGCGCGGGGAGTGGGCCGCCTCCGCCTCTTGGGCCTTCCAGCTCTGCCCGGAGTCTTCCGGCGCTTGGCGAGAGTCCGGCTGGTCCTCCTCGTTGCTGGCGCCCTCCGGCGGGGCGGGGGGGGGGGCGTCGTCGCGGGTCGTGGCCTCCTCGCCCTGCGTGTCATCTTGGAAGCCGCCTTCAAAGACGTTGGTGTCTCTGTCATCGCCCTCCTCGGGTTCGACATCCTCGCTGGGGAGGTCCGCGTTGTCGATATCGACTTCTTGTTGGTTGTCGGCATCGGGGTCGTTCTCCTTATCGCTATCCGTGGATGCATCCATATCCTCCTGACCCTCCGATCCGCCCTCGCCTTCCTCGGATTCTTGCTTGGAATCCTTTTCATCATCCGAGGCGTTAGCATCCTCATCGGAGTTTGATAAGTCATCACCGCTTTCGTCAGATTGTGATCCACCACTGCTGCTGTTTTCGGAATCGTCGGACATCGCGCCTTGTTGATCGTCTTCTCCAAGAAGCTCGTGTTCGCCCTTTCGTTTCTCCTCTGCATCTCGGATCTCTTCCTGCTTATCCTCAAAGCCTCCAGTTTCCTCCTCCTCCCCTTCAATGCCTTCTTCTTGCATTAACATATCCTCAGGGACTTCGGATGCGGTTCCGTCCTGTTCATCCTCGCGCATATCATCGTCATCACCTTTATCTTTTCGAGTTTTCTTCCGATCACGCTCGTCTTCACCGTCGACGCTTCCCATTTCTTTATTGCTGTCCTCATCATCGTTTTCATCCCCATCGTCCTCTTCGCTTTCCTGGCGGTTTTGTTTTTCTGCTTGAAAATCGGTCTCAACATCGGCCGCGTTATCCCCGTCTTCTCCTTTTTCTTCTTCCTTCTCCTCGTGTGGTTGCTCTTCTTTGTCTTTCATATTCATGACTTGATCCTCGTTCTCAATCTCATCGGTAACATCTTTTTCGCCTTTTCCATCATCCATGCCTGTACCATCGCGTTGCTCACCTCCATCGCCCTCACCGTCGTTCTCTTCTTCATCCTCTGTTTTACAGAATCCTTTCTTCATCAAAATCGTAAAGAGACGTGTTAACGCCACACCAAAGCCTACATGGGCGTTTAATGTTTCTTGAAGGGCATTTCGAGCAGCGTTTAGAAGCATTGAAACACTAGATAGACGATTTAGAACGTCATTTCGCTTAGTTCCGTTTAACTGTAAAAACAAATCGCTTGGATTAGACCGACCTTTCAGAACATCAGGTTCGGAATGTAGTAGAGTATCGAGAGATGCAATGGCCACTCGTGTGGACTGGCCAAGACTTACCAATTTCACTTGGTATCCTTCATAGCCTGGGTTAGATGACAAAGCGTGATCATCCAAATTTGAAGGGGAATTAGCTTCTAAAGGGGGGTCCGTGCTGAGAATTGGTTCATTTGTAAAGGCATCTAAGAGTGTCTCAAGTAAATCGTTGACTTGCATAACCCACCCCTTCTCTTCGGTAGCTTCCGTGCGATGCCGTTTGACGTCGGTGCCATCTGAAGCATCACCATTAAGGGACTTAGTGGAATCGAATTGAGTGAGAAATTTTGTGATTTTTTCTCCATGAGCTGCCACCGCGGTGATGATGTTATTTATCGAGATGTCTTGATCCTCCATAAAAGTTTTAGTGCCCTTTCTGATATCCACCAGACGCTCACAGGCTGTGTGGAGCTTACGGAATGCACCGATAAGTTTGTTTGTGAGGCTTACGGGAAGAGGAGTCTGGGTGCGGCGCAGTGGCTCGTACTCCACACAGAGCTGCCATAGCTGTTGAGCCTCATTACCAAGTTCCACCACCAACGACTGCATGTTACGTTCCTCTGCGGTGCGCAAATCTTGATGAGAAAGCATCCACTCGAGACTGCTGTGGAAAGACTGAGTTGAGCAGCATAGCTTCATCGCGGCATCCAGGACGGCGGCATCCTCGGTAAAGGAATTTTCAAGGGGCGGTGATTGGCATTCACCCGTAGGATGTCCAATTTCGTCACCGCACGACCGTACAAAAATCTCCAGCGTCCGCAAAAGACGAGCCAAATCGCATACCCCACACACCAACTCAGTGAGTTCCATGGCGTGCGTAAATAGGGATTCCGAAAGCCCCATCCCCCGCCTTACTTGTGAATCAGAGAGATCGGCATGTGTCTTTCCCCGCCCCACTTCTCGCATCAGCTGAAGCCAGCGTATGAAGTTGTAATATTCCTTTTCCGATTTCTCGAATTGCGCAGAAAGGGCGGGCTGATCGTTGTGGACGGAACGACAGCTCAGCATGGCGGTGGTGGTGCTGAACACGACATCCAACGAACCCATCCGAATCTCATGTCGGTGAGGGACTCCGAAGTCCTCGAGCACCGTGAAAAGCGTCTTGAGCGCGCGAATCTTCATCTGGTAGGGGGTCTTCGGAGCCTGAAGGGCTTGCACGCGCTCAATGAGCTCGGAAGTGGAGCTGGTAAAAAAATCATAGGCGACCGCGATGGGGGAAGAGGACCACGCCTCAAAGGGGCTGGTTGTTGCTATGGCTTCCTTTACTTTAGACGCTGAAGTTTCCTTTCCTCCCCGCCGCCGCTTCATGCCCTTTCCCTCGTTTGCTTTGACGTTAAGGTTGTGGTTTGGATTGGCAGAGAGCTTCCCATTCTTTAGGCTTCCCTTTGTTCCTTTCATGTTGTTTGAGGAGGTTAATTTTCCGTCGAGTGGGGCGACCTCTGGAGGATTGATACCCATACACGGACTATCCTGAATTCTCTGCTCCTCTTCCGCAATGATAACGCGAATAGGAGTTCTCAGAACAGCATCAAAACTGCTCAATGCGCGCGCTACCTTCAGGTGCGCCTTCTCACTTGTCGCTCGAAC